GTTTGCTGCCAATAGGGGCCAGTAGTGATACTTTGCTATTCCCGCTAACGTCTTGTTGCTCCCGAAATGTCCCGTGCATGCCACGTCATGGAACTCCTCCAGTAAGATTTGTCGGAGCGGGGCATAGTCCGGTACCCAAATCTTTCCTGATCCCTTTCTTACAGCTAAGTCTTTCTCCCACTGTAACAGCTTCTGTTTCTCTGCTGTAGCGATATCTGCGTCCACGGAGTATCCATGTTGGAATAGACCCTTGAGTAGAGGGTTCATCCTGTCGAGCTGGATGCCTGCTACATGTCCGGGGCGGCTCAACGCGTCTGCCTTGTTGTGGAGCCTGGATTTGTAGACGATGTCGTACTGGAAGTGAGTTTCCAAAAAGTCCACCCACCGCACCTGTCGTCGTGAGAGCGTAGGCTGCGACTTGAGGTATTTGAGACTGCAGTGGTCAGTGTAGACTGTAGTCTTGGCTCCCTCTAGGTAACACCTCCACGCCTTGAAGGCTATGACTATCGCTAAGGCTTCCTTGTCATGGATGGGGTAGTTCAGTTCTGCTCCGTGTAGCTTCTTACTGAGGTAGGCGATGGGCTGCAAACCGCGTCCAAGATCCTGCATCAGTACTGCTCCGACTGCCTGGTCACTAGCGTCTGCTTCCACCACGTTTTCTCTGTCTGGATCTGGAAGGATGAGTACTAGCGCTGTAGTTAGTACTGTCTGTAGCTGCTCCATGGCTTGCTTCTTCATGTCTGTCAGTTCTGACGGAATCAGTCGGTATGATGCACGTGAGATGGGTTTCGCACCTGGTTCCTCCACGATCTCGTGCTCGTGGGTTCATCCTGGAGGTACTTCTGCATGTAGGTCATCTTGCATGATGTTTTTATACTACTCCAACACCTCCTGTACTGCTGCAGGTAACTCTGGGTTCGGCTTCTCCTCCTCCGCTGCTGCCATAACCAGTGCTAAGTAACCCATGTTACTCTTGTTCACTGTCCGTTTGAACCGTGCAAGTGTCGTTTCTGGTACATCCCCTGTATCCGTCCAGCTTCGCAGCTCCACACGTTTCCCATTGTTGTAGATGCACGCCTTCCGGTTGACCCAGTCGATCTCGGGGTTGAACCGCTTCAAAAAATTACGCCCCAAGATGAATTCTAATCCCTTGATGTTCGTGATCGGCAACGTCGGCTTCCACCTTAACGCCCCTATCTGCAGCTGCAGTGTTGACTCGCCGTGGATGGGAAGCTTCGTACCATCCACCATCGTTGCTGTAAATCGGGTCTCGTCCGATGACTCTCCAATTTTCTCCAACGTCCCGCGGTCGCACACCGAGTGGGACGCACCACTGTCCACCATGTCAACGGGAGTTGTGTGTTGGCCCCGTCCTCGCTTGGGCGGAGCCAACTTTGTGTTTGGGTGTACGGGAGGTACAGCCGACTTGCAGCAGTGGGCGTCGCCAACTCGGGCGAGCTGGTCGACGGGTTTGGTCGACCTGCACGAGGCCACTGAAATGCCGCCGACTTGGGAAGCCGGTGGCCTACTTCAACTGGTGGTCAACGATGGGGCTCGTCGACTTGGAAGTCGGCGCCGACTTGGGAGGTCGCCGACTTGAGAGGTCGCCGACTTGGGAGGTTGCCGACTTCGGAGGTCACCGACTTAAAGTGGCCGACTTGGTGGCGCCGACCTGGGGAGTAGCCGACTCGGTGAAGTCGGCTGGTAGTGGTCGTCGACTTGGGTGGTCGACGAGCACGTACAACTGCTGGTCGACACCGACCTGGTGGTCAAGTCGGCGCCGACCTGGGAGGGTTTCCACGTTGACCAAGTAGCCAGGGCGGCAAAGCGACGAAGTCTACGGAGGAGCGTGACGGTCGCCCCAGGTGGTTCTGGCGAAGCCGACCTCGGTGGTGGTATCCCGAGGTCGACGTGGCTGATCAGGTGCAGATGATAGCGCGTGGACGACCTGGTGCTCTGCGCTGTGCGGACGCAGCACAGCACGCCAATCATCTGCGTGCACCTGAGAAGCGGGTACGCTGCTGTCTTGCGTATGCAACGCTGTGTAGCCGCCTTGCTGCAGCGTTGGCACGCCGTCGACTTGCAGCGTTGGCAGGCCGCGACTTTGCACTGCTGGAGCGCGGTCGACCAAGTCGTGCTGGAACGCGGTCGACCGTGCTGCGCTGGTAGTCGACCTGCATGCTTGCTAGCTCTGATGTAGTCAACCTTGCCAATGTTGTTGCTATCAATCTAAACCTTTTGTTGTGAACTTTTGCTAGTGAAACTCTTGCCAAATCTCCCCGTGAATGTGCAATTAGAGGAAGCACAAGTGAACGACTAAGGAACCAAAGCTACAATCACTCCTACCCCGTGCCTACCCCATAGACTAGCTCCCGTTGTAGTAGTTATCTCCGCACACTAATGCTTGGAGGCAATGCCCGTTGCAGATCACCTCGAGGAGTAGTGGTTGTTGCCGCTCCGGGTAGTTGTAGATGGTCTTGCTTGCAGGACCATAGGGTATGCTGAATATATCATCTCTAGGCCCTGCGCTCGAAGCTGTTGACTTAATATCAGTTTTCAGCTGAATAGGGTTAGATCTCTTGGGCCTGGAACCTTCCCCTAAGCCTTTGCAGCTGTGTAGGCTTCTCCTGTGGGGAATATTAATTCCTCGGAACGTTTGACTCATATCAACGCTCCGGAATAGGGTCCCCATATTACCCGGTACCGGTTTAATTTCTGACTCTCCCTTAATAAAGGCTTGAAAACCACGAGAAGTAATATTCTTACTTGTCGGGGTGTACGGCTGGAGTTTCCCGGTCGGTGCAGGGTCTTGTTTTGTGGAGTCTCATTTGGTCTCGGCGATTTCCCCTGGTGCCGGCTGGTCGTGACGTTTTAAATTCGCGCCATCGTATTCTCCATTTTTCGCCCTCTTCGAAGTTGCCACGTTGTCCGTTTTGTGCTTGGGGGGTGCCGCACTGTTCTTGCCCTTCAGCTCCGCACGCGTTTTCCCAACACGTCGATACGATGTCCTGTAGCACTGCAAAGTTCGCACGACTTGTTTTTTGCTAGCTGCTGCGTCGCATCGCCCTTGTCGTTCTCCATCGGGTCGGCAGTCGTGGGTGGTGCCGATCGCCCCATGCCACCATTTGGCTTGTTGTGTCGTATTCCGTAGTAGCTACTGTTCAACGCGTCGAACTGTTCGATCAGTGCTGCCCGAAACTGCGCCCACGTCTCTTCGCCTTGGACAATTATGTTGCTAATCCTCTCTAGAGCTGGGCCTCGTAACAGTGTTGCTGCGAGCCGTATGCGCATTTGCTTCTTTTGTCGGGGTCGTTGATTTAACGGCTTCGAAGTAAAATTCGAGTTCAGCTATGAATCGATGAACGTCGCTCCCATTCACTATAGGACTGACTGGTTGCCTCGGCTTCAGTGCTTGGATAATAACTGTAGCTGCCGTCGTTGTTGCAGGTACAATTGTCAGTGTCGCCGTCGTCGTCGCTGCTGCTGCTGCTGCTGCTGCAGATTGGTTCGCAAGGAGTTTTTCAAGTCATGGAAGCGCCGCACGTATCTGCTCATGCTCCGCACGTAGCTCCGCAATTTTCTTTGCTAAATTATCTATATTTCATTCCATTTGGCAATTCACAGGAAGATGCGCGATGAAAATAGTTAAATTCTAGGTGCTGGTCGACTTACTGCGGGTCGAATTATGTACGACGCGTTAATCTCCCTTAGTTGAAATCCGCGTCCGATCTCGGCCGTTGGGGAGAAACTCGATCCGACGCTCCAAATTCCAACTTTTCAGGTCGAAATTCTCTAGGCCGTTGACATTTGAATCAATCTGACAGTCGAATTTTCAAAATTTCCGCCAAAACTCCTGAGGGGTGTTCGAAAACCGGATCGAGGGGGGTTTAGAAAAAATGTGCGGAACTGGTTTTACATACCCGAATCGGCGCTTTTGTCGTCGCCCCTGCGGTTTTTCAAGGGCGGAAATGTTAAACTATATGTTGTGCATATTGTGTAGGCTATAGTGGGGTAGTCACTAACGAGTACAACCCTTCTAGGGTTTTCTATTTGTATCCCATTGCATTCTAGTCAACTCATCCTTGCCTAAGTTTCTCAACATGCTACCAAAGCAGTAGGTCCGTAGGACCGTTTTTTTTTCGGGCCCACCGGTTACCGCGCTACCCCACGCCCTACCCTGCCCTGTACTGCCCGCATGCGCCGCCCCTGCAGACCCGCGCGCCGCCCTTACAGTCCCGCGCGCCACCCCTGCAGCCCGCGCGTCGCCTACTAGCAGCCCGCGCGCTGCCCCTCTGCCCCGCACACCGCATTTGCCGCCCGCGCGTCGCTTTCGCCGCACGCGCGCGGCCCATTGCAGCTCCGTGCACCGCGCCAGCAGCTTGCGCGCCGCCCTCGCCGCCCGCGCGCAGCCCCAGCAGCCCGCGCACTGCCGTTTGCGGCCCCGCGCGCTGCCCCTGCAGCCCGCGCGCTGCTGTCTGCAGCCCCGCGCGAGCCCCTGCAGCCGTCGCGCTGCCTCTGCCCTGCCCCGCGCGCCGCCCTCGCAGCCCGCGCCCTGCCCCAGCAGCCCTCACGCTGCCTCTGCCCTACCCCGCACGCAGCCCCTTGCAGCCCGCGCCCTGCCCCAGCAGCCCTCGTGCTGCCTCTGCCCCACCCCGCGTGCAGCCCCTTGCAGCCCGCGCCCTGACCCAGCAGCCCTCGCGCTGCCTCAGCTCTGCCCCGTGCGCCCTGCCCTTGCAGCCTCGTGCGCCGCCCTTGCTGCCTGCTTGCAACCTCTGTAGCCCTTGCGCTGCCTCTGCTCTGCCCGGCTCCTAAGCTGCTAAACTATGGCCACTCTGCGCATTCTCGCATTCGATCCTGACGGCCGCCCAGTTAAATTCGAAACCTGTCTCCAGGACCTGTAGCTGTACCTACTGAGCGACGCTAGGGACGGTGTTTCGCTCTATGACCTAGCGACTGGTGCCTCCACTGCCCCACCAGCCTCAGCTGACGCGACAACTCGCATGCAATGGCTTACCCGTGATATTGCTGCTCGCCTAGCCATTCGCAACCATCTGCCAGTAGCTGAATGCGAGCATTTTGACCAGGCAAAGACTGCTAAGGCCCTCTATGACGCTGTTGTTGCACGTTACTCTTCCCCTGCCACTGCAGCGCTTAGTCGCCTATTCCTTACCTACCTTATCCCCGACCTGTCCTCATTCGCCACTGTAGACAACCTCCTCTCCCACCTTCGCGCTATGGACATTCGTTACAGTGCTGTCCTCCCTGCTGAGTTTCTCCCCAAGAACGAGCCCCTGATCTACATCACTCTCCACTTTATAGTGACCCGCCTCCCTGACTCTCTTAGTGCAGTCCGGGACACCCTTCTCGCTCTCCCCTCGACAGACCTCACTATCGACCTGCTAGGGAAGCACCTTCTTGCAGCTGAGGCTAACATAGTCGCTGTAGGTGCTACCCGTGGCACCCCTCGCACGCCCTTCTTTGAGGGGTGCTCCCCCTCCCCCCTTGCCCCCTCTGTTGCCTCTGCCGCTGCTGTCGACTTCCTTGGTGCTGAGGAGGTCGGGGCTGCTTCCGCTCCTAGTGGGAAGCGCCGCAGCGGCAAGGGCAAGGGAGGCAAGGGTGGTGGGAGTGGCGACGAGGGGGTGGTGGTGGAGGTGGTTGGGGTGGCGGAGGTGGTGGAGGTGGCGGTGGGAGTGGTGGAGCGAGTGGGGGCGTCGGCGGCGGAGGTGGCGGCGGCGGCGGAGGTGGTGGTGGCAGGTCGTGGTGGCAGTGGGAGCAGTGGTGGCGGGAGTGGCAGCGGCGGGAGTGGTGGTAGCGGCGGTGGTGGTGATCGCTCTGGCGCAGTTCAGCGGCAGCAGCAGCAGCGTCCGCGTGAGACCCTTTCGTCCGAGCAGCTTTGTGAGTGGCTTGCTCACCCTGCGGCGTCTAGGGGTAGTGGTAGTGGTCGCTGCTCGCACGTTATTCGCACAGGTCCCCGCGCTGGTCAGACGTTCGAGAAGTTTCACACCCAGCACCGCTGTTTCTCCCGCCTAGACGACGCTTGGCGTCAGGAGATGGGCGACGAGAATGAGCTGCCCCGCTGGGCAGAGCTGCTTTAGACTGGTGTTGATATCTTTGCTCTTGATTAAATTTGATACTATCATTGGTGGAATGTATGCTCTGTCTACTAGTGTTGAGGGTGACTGTTACTTGTGTGTGCCGTATGACCCTGGTATAGAGGCTGCTGCTCTAGGTGCTAGTGAGTCTGCTCTCTCTGGTACTGCGCCTGCTAAGGCCTTGCACACCTTCACGCTTGACTCAGATGCTTCTCGCTGCTTCTTTCGCGACAGTACCACAGTCACACCACTTTCCAGGCCTGTTTGAGTTTCCCTGGCTGACCCCTCTGGGGGTCCGGTTCTTGCACGCTCCTCTACTGTGCTCCCGTGCCCGGCCGTTCCGACTGGTTCCCTGTCCGGTCTCCACCTCCCCTCGTTCTCGACAAACTTGGTGAGCAACGCAGTCCTCCAGGATGCAGGGGTTGATACCTTTACACCTGGATGGCAGCGTGTGGCGATCTGTACGTGCTCTCGGACTGGCCGTCACCTGGCCACGTTCACTCGTCGGCCGGGGTCGAGTCTGTACACACTGACTACTGCGCCGCCTCAGGTCGCTGCGTCTGCTCAGGTGTCCCCGCCAGGTTCGGTAGCAGCCCTCTGTGAGTGTCGCCGCCTGTCGCACCAGACTCTCCTTTGGCACCACCGCCTTGGTCACCCCTCCCTGCCACGCCTTCGTGGCATGCACTCTCGCCTTCTGGTTTCTGATCTTCCCAAGTCTCTGCCTTCCCTCCCACCCTTGCCTGCCCCGCCCTGCATTCCTTGCGTCGAGGGGCGGCAGCGCGCCGCTCCTCACTCCTCCTCGTTTCCCCCGACAACTGCTCCTCTGCAGACTCTCCACATGGACGTGTGGGGCCCAGCCCGCGTCCAGGGACAGGGCCGCGAGCGATACTTTCTTGTGGTTGTTGACGACTACTTGCGTTACACCACGGTCTTCCCCTTGCGCACCAAGGGTGAGGTCCCTGCTGTTTTGATCCCTTGGATCCGAGCTGTCCGTCTCCAGCTGCGCGAGCGGTTCCGCACGGACCTTCCTGTCTTGCGTCTGCACTCTGACAGGGGTGGTGAGTTCTCCTCTGGCCTCTTGGGGTCCTTTTGTGAGGCGGAGGGCATTCACCAGTCGTTCACGCTTCCGGCCTCCCCGCAGCAAAATGGGATTGCTGAGCGCTGCATTGGCTTAGTCATGGAGGTCGCTCGTACCTCCATGATCCATGCAGCTGCTCCCCATTTTCTGTGGCCATTTGCGGTCCGGTACGCTGCGCATCAACTCAACCTCTGGCCCCGTGTCTCCTTGCCAGAGACCTCGCCTACACATAGTTGGACGGGATGCGTCCGCATTCCGGGTCTGGGATTCCTTTGCCTTTGTCCGCGATTCCATCGCGCGCAAGCTCTCCTCTCGCGCCATACCCTACGTCTTCCTTGGCTTTCCCCCTGACGCGCCTGGCTGGCAGTTTTACCACCCAACCTCGCACCGTGTCTTCACGTCTCAGGACGTCACCTTTGACGAGTCGGTTCCTTTCTACCGTCTCTTCCCCTACCGCACTGCCCCTCTCCCCCCCGCCGCCACTCTTCCTCGCTCCAGGTCCCCCTCCGGTAGACCCCCTCCCCCCTCAGGGTCCTGCTCCTTCAGGTGTCTCTCAGGTAGACCCACTTCCCTTAGCTGAGCCTGTCGAGGTCACAGATGACTTAGGTGCTGCTGGGGTGGTGCTGCTCGGGGTGCTGAGCCTGGGGGTGCTGAGCCTGGGGGTGATGCTTTTGGGGGTGCTAGGCCTTGGGGTGCTGAGCCTGAGGGTGCTGCTTCTGGGGGTGCTGTGCCTGGTGGAGCTGGGTCTACTGGTGGTCTTCCGGGTGCCTCACTTCAGCGGTCTCCCCAGCGGGAGCCCCTCTCACCCCAGAAGCTGCGTAAGTGGCTAGCTCACCGCACTCACCTCCGACGCAGCGCTACTGGAGCTGGGGGCACTGGCGCTGGAGGCGCTGGAGGTGCTGGAGCTGCGAACGCTGGAGCTGGAGGCACTAGTGCTCGGTACACTAGAGCTGGAGGCACTGGAGCTGGAGGCACTGGAGCTGGAGGCACTGGCGCTGGAGGCGCTAGGGCTGGAGGAACTGACGCTGGAGGTTCTGGAGCTGCTGGAGGCACTGGAGCTGGAGACGCTGGGTAGAGCAGGAGGCACTGGAGCTGGAGGCGCTAGCACTGGTGACGCTAGAGCTGGAGGCGCTCGAGCTGGAGGCACTGACGCTGGAGGCGCTAGAGCTGGAGACACTGGAGCTGGAGGCGCTGGAGCTGGAGACACTGGCACTGGAGGCACTAGCGCTGGTAACGCTAGAGCTGGTGGCGCTGGAGCTGGAGGCGCTGGAGCTGGAGGCACTGGAGCTGGAGGCACTAGAGCTTGAGGCACTGAGCAGCAGCGACTGTTTTTCTTGCCGCCGCCGCAGCTGTCTGAGCTTCCGCCCGAGTCGGTGCTCCGCCAGGTTCTTAGTCATCTTTCGTCCACTGCCCTTCGTCCAGACTCACCGCTGCCTGCCCCCCTTCCTTACACAGAGCAGCCAGAGTCCCGGACAGAGCCTTGTGAGCCTGCGTCTCGTCTTGCCTCCCGTGTTCGCACTGTTCACCGTGCTCGTCTAGTCACGCGTCCGCGTCCTCCTCCTGTGCCAGGTACTCACACTATGGCACTTCGTCCTTCCTCTGTCCCACAGCGTGTCCCCCTGCCGTCTCCTCCTGCGTCTTCTCTTCCTGTCGTTCTGGACCCTGAGTCTGACACTATTCGTGCTGCTCACCCTACTGTCACGCGTCTCCTGGCCACTGTTGTCACTGACCCGTCCTTTGAGTCTACTGCTGGGTCTGCCTTAGTTGTTGAGTTTGTGGACTTTGCTGCTGCGTGTCGTCTAGACTATGCTGCCAGTCTTGTTGCTGAGTCTAAGTCTGTCTGTCCTCCGTCCGTCGGGGGTGAGTGTGCTCTTGGCACGGACGTCATTGAGGACAGGCAGGAAGACTTTGAGTGTCTTGCGGCTGTTGTACCTCATCTCACGGCCTGGCTACTTGCAGACCCGGATGCACTGGACATCCCGACCCCGCGCTCTTACGCTGAGGCGATCGCGGGTCCCTACTCCTCTCAGTGGCAGACAGCCATGGACGCAGAGATGGCATCCTGGAAGTCCACACGCACCTACGTCGACGCAGTTCCCCCTCCTAGGGCGAACATAGTCGATGGCATGTGGATTTTCAGGGTGAAGCGGCCGTCGGGTTCTCCGCCTGTCTTCAAGGCTCGTTACGTTGCTCGAGGCTTCAGTCAGCGACAAGGAGTTGACTTCTTCCAGACCTTCTCCCCCACCCCAAAGATGACCACTCTTCGGGTGCTACTGCACGTTGCCGCTCAGCGTGACTACGAGCTTCACTCTCTTGACTTCAGCACAGCTTTCTTGCAGGGCAGCCTGCACGAGGAGATCTGCCTGCACCGCCCACCTGGCGGTGTCAATGAGTCATTTCCTGCAGGTACTCAGTGGAGCCTCTGGCGGCCAGTCTACGGTCTCCGCCAGGCGCCTCGTGAGTGGCACGACATACTGAGGACTACGCTTGCGGCTCTCGGGTTTGCTCCGTCCACTGCTGACCCGTCACAGTTTCTGCGCAATTACACTTCGCTACCGCTGTTCTACATCCTCGTGTACGTCGACGACCTGGTCTTTGCCACTGCTGACACTGAGGCACTTGCCCTTGTGAAGTCGGAGCTGCAGAAGAGACACACCTGCTATAGCCTGGGTGAGCTGCGCAGCTACCTTGGCTTGCAGATCACCCAGGACAGAGCACGCCGCACCATCACCCTGACTCAGTCACACATGGTGCAGCAGGTCCTTCAGCGCTTCGGCTTCCAGTTCTTCTCACCACAGTCCATTCCTCTGCCTACCAGTCACTCGCTCTCAGCTCTGCCTTCGGATGAGTCTGTAGAGCCGAGTGGCCCGTATCCGCAGCTTGTCGGCTGCCTCATGTACCTGATGACCTGCACACGACCTGACCTTGCGTACCCTCTTAGCATCCTGGCTCGCTATGTTGCACCTCGGAGACACCGGCGAGAGCACTGGGAGGCTGCTAAGAAGGTGTTACACTACTTGTGCAGTACATCAGGCATGGGGCTGGTGCTTGGAGGATGGGGTGACGTTGTCCTCACTGGACACTCAGACGCCTCTTGGGTCGACGTCCTGGCTACACAGCAGTCGTTACAGGGGTACACCTTCATCCTTGGCTCCGGCTTTGTTTCTTGGCGTTCTGCTCGCTCGTCTTCTGTTTTCGGCTCCAGTTGTGAGGCTGAGATCTACGCCACAACCATGGCTGCACAGGAGTTACGCTGGCTCACCTACCTGCTGACCGATTTAGGAGAGCGGCCTCATTCTCCTCAAGTTCTGTACGTCGACAACAAGGCCGCTATTGCCTTGTGTCAGAAGCACAGACTGGAGCACAGAACGAAGCACATCGCTTTGCGTTACTTCCTTGCTCGAGAGCTGCAGCAGCGTGGCCAGCTTCGCCTTGCTCACGTGGACACGCGGGCCAACACTGCTGATATATTCACCAAGGCACTTCTGCCTAGTGATCATCAGCGTCACTGCACTACTTTAGGGCTCGTGTCCACTTTCTCTCACTTGCTCACTGCTTGACTTTGCTTGTACTGTGATCGTTGTATATACCTTCATGCTTACACTTGTTAGGCAGTTGTTACACTTGTTCGTTGTACTGTACTGTTTGCTCTCTCATGTATAACTATGCATGTGAACTGGCCATGTGGCCTTTGTGCTTGTGCTCGGAATGTGTGGTGACTTCGTGATCCACCCTAAGCTTTCTTTGCCTTTCTTGACCGGTCTTGTGACCACTGGTTCTCCCCCACTTTGCCTATGGGGTGTGTGAAACTATATGTTGTGCATATTGTGTAGGCTATAGTGGGGTAGCCACTAAGGGGTACAACCCTTCTATGGATTTCATATTTGTATCCCATTGCATTCTAGTCAACTCATCCTTGCCTAATTTTCTCAACAGAAACTAAACGATTGAAGACATCGCGTGTGAACCTGCTCTGATTACCAAGTGTGAGGATCTGGTTCAGGAAAGAGAAATCTATTGAATCGGTGATCACCAGGGTAAAAGGCACTGCAATATATAAGCTCAAAACAAAGGCAGTAACTCGGGTGTTACTAAAAGGTTCCGCGGGTCGCGAAGCGTCCCGAACGGGTTTTTCCCGAATTTGGTAGAAGGCAATTCGGTGACCATCGAAAAGCCAGAAATTCGGTACACTCAACCTAGTTTGGTGCCAATAACCGTGATAACTATAGTAAAAGCAACGAACCTAGGAAATCAAGCAAAAGCATGCAAGAAAAAACAAAGCTTAGCTAGATAATGCGTAATCAAGCAGAATCAAGCAAGTAAAGTTCAGCAAAGCCGTGGTACTCTCACAGCGCCAAAACAGCTTTAGGACTAGGTACGGTTCGTTCAAGTACACCGTTATGCCCTTTGGACTAACCAACGCACCTGCAACTTTCCAAATAACAATGAACGATGCATTTTGACCACTGTTAGATAAGTGCGTGATAGTTTACCTCGACGACATCCTGGTTTGCAGCCGCGACAAGGAGCAACACTTAACGGATTTGGAAGCGGTGTTTAAAATTTTAGACGAAAACCGCCTACTGACCAAGGGCTCGAAGTGCGAGTTTTTTTAGGACCGGTTAGAGTTTTTGGGGCACGTTATTTCGAAGGCTGGAGTCGAAATTGACCCAACGAAGCTGGACACCGTACAAGCGTGGCGCCCACCGAAGAACATCTCGGAGTTGCAGAGTTTTTTAGGGTTCATTAACTATGTGCGACGGTTCGTCCCCGACATGGCAAGGTTAACTGCACAGCTGACAGATATGTTGCGGAAGGGGGTCGCTTTTACATGGGGGGGGAAAGAGCATGCTGCCTTCTCTGCCCTGAAAACTGTTCTCTGTTCACCGGCCGTACTGCGCATTGCGGACCCCCACCGCCCATTCGAAGTAGTTACACAGACGCAAGCGACATCGCCATCGAAGCCGTACTGTTACAAGATTTCAGCAACGGCCTACAACCCATTGCCTACGAGTCACGGAAACTGCATCCGCCCGAGAAAATTTACCCGATACACGACCGTGAAATGCTCGCGATCATGCACGCGTTCAAGGTCTGGCGATGCTACTTGACTAGCGCAGACGTGACAGTACGGACAGACCCCAAATCCCTACAGTACCTTCGTGCATAGCCCCACCTCAACCCACAACAGGTTCGCTGCTCGATTTCCTCAAGTCAAACTTCCACTATACAGTCACCTACAAAAAGAGGGCATCAAACATCGCCGACGCATTGACCCGCCCCACTGCCCAAATTCACGCCATACTACTCGCCCAGACTAGCCTACTCCTCATAGGACTATTTACCCACGGTTACCAAGCAGCCCCATTCTTCACAGGAGGAAACTCGCAGCAGTTCGCAGCAGCAAAAAGGGATTATTACGTAAAAGCCATCACCGATCGCATTTGGGTACTAGGCTACACGTTACTAAGGGAGCTGCTACTACAGGAACCACACGACGGGGTTACTTCAGGCCATTTCGGAGTAGAAAAAACACCACAGCAACTGCAGCGGTACTATTACTGGCCCGAGATGTTGACCGACGTACAGCGACACGTGGCATCGTGTCCCACCTGCCAACTCATGAAATCATCACGGAAGCCGCCAGCAGGGCAGTTGCAGCCGATACCACCCCCAGAGCGTGCTTGGCAGCAGGTGACGATGGACTTCGTCACGGGGTTACCGGCCGGAGCGAGTGGGAACGACGCGATCATGGTCGTCGTCGATTGGTTGACAGAGATGGCACATTTCGCAGCCTGCAAGAAGTCAATCTTGCAGCTCGGCCGAAGAAACAGCTCGGCTTTTCATCGCCACTGTTGTTCGACTGCACGGGATACCAGCAGCCATTATCAGCGATCGATACATGAAATTCACTAGCAACTTCCGGAGGAACCTATGGCAGCAGTTCGATGCGCGACCACAGTTTAGTTCATCATACCACCCCGAAACAGACGGACAGACAGAACGGACAAATCAGGCCATGGAACAGCTGATTCGAGCCACGTGCTATGACCCGACTCCGTGGGAACAGCAGTTGCCAGTCATCGAATTCGCAAACAACAACTCGCCATACGCCACAACCTAACAGTCACCCTTCTACCTAAATTACGGACAAGTCCCCACAGTACCCATAACCCCGAATCCCGACAACCCAGTACCACGCGCGCAACAATTCACCAAAATTCTACAGGAAGCACAGACCGGGGCAGCAGATGCAATTAAAAAATCAAATATCATCGCTAAACGCAACTCTGACCGCCACTGCCGCCCAGTCACTTACCAGCCTGACGACCTCGTTCTGCTCGACATTCAAAACCTCCGCCTGCCCATCACCCCAAAACTCCGCCCTCGATATAGAGGGCCATTTCGCATTAGCCACATGATCACCCCCGTTACCGCCCACCTCCTCCTCCCTGCTGACTGGTACGTCAGCCCGTCATTCCACGTCAACCTGCTTCGCCCCTACATGCCGTCTACAAGTCAACTGCCTCGAAATCGCCCAGCCAGCATGATACGACCATCCATCGAGCCAATTATCATACCCGAGAAAATCCTAAGCCACCGAGTTCGTGACCCACGTGAAGCTCGCAGGATCAAATTCCTGATCCGCTGGAAAGACCGTACGCCAACTGAAGACAACTTGGTACCCCTAGACAGAATTGAAAACCACCCCGTCCTCACCGACTATCTGCGCAGTCGCAATTTCCGGGATGTACAGGCACTTTCATAAGGAGGGCCTCCTTGTGGGGGGGGGGGAGTGTAAGGAAATTTCCTTTTCCTTACGCCGCATCCCTGCTTAGCGCGTACATACATTACTGTTCTCGCCACACTCGACACCGTTACCACTCGCGACACTCGCCTCGACGACTTCCCACCACCTCGCCCGTCGCAACCCAACCTCATGGCTCGGCTGATAACCCGTGCTCTGGGCCTCCGCTTCGACACTTCCCAACCACAGTCCCAACCTTTGTCACAGGCCCGTAGCGCGTCACCCACAGTTTGTTACCGTTACCACGGTGGCCTTCGCTATTAAGTTCTCGCTCATTCATTCGCTCAATTTTACTGTTTTGCTTCGATAGTGCAATTCTCGCTCGCTCGCTCAATTGCACTCGTAACAATAGCAAAGATATTTGTACCGAAGCAAAATGCTTCGGCGAACCGCTAGTTCCCATTTTTATTGGTAGAAAAGAGGGGGCGAATGGCCATTTGGCCTTCACCCACGTTTTTCATTTCAAACTTTCAGTTTTCAAGTTCTCGACTTTCTTCGTCCAAGCTGGCGAAGACTTAGAGCCTTCCTCGCTTCACTTCTCCCTCGACGCTCCTCTCCGACATTCTCGAGCACAACCTTTCTTCTATGGCACCGACGAATAACGATAGCCCCGGGGCTACAGACGCAACTCCTCGGCCATCATCAGGGCTTGAGAATACGACCCGGGAAACTGGCGCGGAGGGGCGAAAATGCCCCACCGAGGAAAACGTCGAGGGGCCCCACACTTGGGTGGACGGGCTGCTCGGCGAGGGCGGCGGCCCACGCTCGCGCGCGCCTCAGCCATGCGCGTCTCACAAACAGGCATGGGCCTGCAAGCGCCAATCGTGACGACTTCGTCGTCATCACTGCTGCTGACGCAGGAGGATCGCCCGCCACCTCAAAGCGGAGGGCGTCGGATTCGCTTGCAACCAAGGGGGCGGCGGCAAATCTTTCGCCCTCGCAAGTGGTAGCGCTGTAGGCGCTTCTCCAAAAGCAGGCCGCGACCCCCCTTACAACGCCAGCAGCTATAACAGAGGCGGAAAACTTCGCTTCCGCTAAAA